AAAAAAAAATCCCTGCAGGGTGTTACCTACCCCCTGCTCTGAACAACCCGCCCGGCCGCAGCTTCTCTGCACGAAAGCACCCAGCACCTCTCGGCTGCTCATTCCGGCACGGAGACAAACGACTTGGAAAGGCAGAGGTGGGACCCCGAGAGCCGCAGGGCTCTGTGCCGGCTGCCTGCAGCGCCCGTCGCTGCCTTCCTGCGCAGCGCGATGCAGGGGACAAAGCCCCACCAAAGGACCACGAGCCATCCCCAGCTCCCGGCTGGAGGATGGAGCAGCGAAGCATCCCAGGAACGCCAAGAAGCTTTTGGCAAAGAGAAGACCGTGAAGATTTCTGGGGATTTACAGGCCAGCACTCCAGCTGGGATCTGAGTGCCTTCTCCAGTACATGATGCTACCATCACGAGAAGGTTTCAAGGACCTGATTTTATAGACGCCTAAATAAATACATTGGAATTGATATAGCAAAACACAGCGTATATTTATCTATTTTGCAGAGGGAGTGGGATGTAATTAGATGGCAGCGTGTCCCTCAAGGCCATCGCCCGCTGTAATTCACGCCCTGAGGCGGCTGGCCGAGGGGAGGAGGAGGAATAAAGCAGGCAGTAGAATTGATGGGCTGCTCCCAGCAGCTTTGTTTTAATTAATTTCCAAAGTGCTCCTTGTAGCAGAGCAGGCAGGTCCTTCAAAGCCTCCTTTCCCCCGCCGCTGCCCATGCTCTCATGCCTGCGCCAGCACGGGGTCCGGGGCAGCGGGGTGAGCCCGGGAGCCAGCCCTGCTTCTTCAAGGCCCCGGGCTTTTTGGTTGAAGTGTGAAGAAGCCGTTGCTGTTTTTAAACAGGAGGACTTCTCTCTGGCCAAGAGGCCTCTGATGGTCACAGTGTGGGCAGGCGTATTTGTCAGGGCTTTTCCTTTTCCCCTTTTTATTGACTTTCTGCTCGTTCCTGCTGGCAGGGGTCAGCTGGGGCTTTGGCTGGACTTTGCCAAAAGTCCACCCACAACAGCGGGTTACCAGGTGCTGACGCAGGGCCCTGCCCCTAAGACACAAGGGGTTTGAGAACTGGCTTTGCAGCCCGGTCGGGCGTGCGGTGGTGGGGCTGGGAAGGGGCTGTGCCAGCTCCAAAGCTCTTCCCGAAGAGGCTTGTAAAGCTAAACTGCATTTGCGCTGCATCCAGCAAGGTGACAGCGGTAACAGCAGCTCAGTGCCGAATTTGGGAGCGGCATGGCTGACGTGAAGGGACCCATCCCCGGCCAGGACACCATGCCGACCAACACAGAGCCCTCCACCACCATCAAACTGCTGCACCTGGTTTTCCTCTCCACCTCCTGGGGAATGCAGATCTGGGTGACCTTCGTGGCGGGTAGGTTGCGGTCGGCGCACCCCACCACGGCTCTCTGCCCGGGGGGAGGCCCAGGGGAGGGGACTTTGCCCCAGGACCTACCCGCTCTCCCCCCTTGCAGGGCTTGTGATGGGCAGCCGCCTTCCCCACCACACCTACGGCTTAATCCAGCGCGAGCTCTTCCCCTACTACTTCCACATCGGCTCCGCATGTGCCTTCCTCAACCTGACTCTATTTGCCATGTACCACCCCAGCGAGCTGCTCAGCGATGAACAAACTACCCAGGTAGGCTCCCGCTTTAAAAGGTGAGCTGGCCATAGCCCAAATTCCTTCCTCAGCGGGGTCCTGCCCCGCTCTGCTCCGCTGAGGCTGGCTTCCAAACGATGACGAGGTCCACACGTGGCTCCGGTTAAAAGAAACCAGCCAGATTGCAGCAAGCCTTCTGTGTAAGAGGGGCTGGGGGAGAAATTTAACCCACTGCGTGTGCGAGACAGTCACGGTGGGTGTTGCTCCCCTGCAGATCATCGTCTTCTTTGTTTGCGTCGCCGCTTCCGTGCTGAACACGCAGTGGTTCGGGCAGGTCACCTCTGACATCATGGCAGACATGCATCTCATCGAACGCAGCCACGGCCTCGGGCAGGGGGTCGGGCTGTTTGCCAGCAGGTCCTGCAGGCAGCTGCGTGCCTCCAACCCCAGCTACGGGCAGCTCTCCGGCCAGCTCACCCTCTACCGCGCGCTGTCCTCCCTCTGCAACCTCTGCTGCATCGCCTGCAACGGCTTGAGCTTGTACTACCTCGCTGCCCATCTCTCTGCCCTGTGAGAGCCGGGCACCGCGGGCCGAGGGCTGGCTGGCCAGAACCAAGGATCTGGGAAAAGGGAGAGACATCCTTGTTGTAAAGCAACCCTAAGCTTTGGAGATTAAATCGCAGCATCCTCAGATGGAGTTGCTTTTAGCTGTATTTGTGCATGGTGCAGAAATTTAGGAATAGCAAAAGGAAATGCTTTCTTTACAGCTGTCTGAATCCAGCTCTGGAGTGGAGATAAATCCTCCATGATCTAAGCAGAAGTGTTTATGGCTGAACAGCTTTCTAATGCCCCGTGCACTAGGTGTGTCTAAAACTGCATTGTATTTCTGCAATCACTGGGAGATTGCAGAAGAGAAAGAAAGGGGAGATTTAGAATGACTTTTAATTAAATGCTGAAAGCTAATACAGAAGTGCAGAAGACGCTGTGTATTGGCTTTCCCAGTTAGTGTAATGTATAAGGTTGTTATGTTTGGGTTCAGAATTACTGTTTGTCATTCTCTCGTAGTATTTCATGAGGTGAGAAAAATTATGTTCTCGTTTATTAGGCAGAAGTCAGTCTACTTAAAACAGACATGTTTTATTTCCAGGTTATATAGGACTATCAGTAAGGCACCAAAAGGGTCAGTAAAACACACCGCTCCAAACCAAGAGCTCTGCTGTACCCTGGCCAGCTGCAGAGCCAAGTGGTGAAAAAACAGCAGCTGCTAATCCCAGGCAGGAATCTGACTGCATCCATCCTGCTGCAACAGGCAGGTATCTCCCCAGACCACGGCTGTTAAACCCCAGCAAACACAGCCCACCTCCAAGGAAATCAGTGATTTTTCACAGGTAAGCAAGAACATTCCCAGCTGCTGTGGCTTCAGCTGCAACCAGTGTTTGGCACCGCTTCAGGTTTATTTCAAAACCACATGCAGCCTATCATATGGGAGGCCTTCTGCCAGCTGGATTTCTTTTTAAACAAATAATCTCCTCTTGTAAGCCCTTCATTCTCCTGTGCGGCTTTACGGGGAGTTTCCCTGTGTGCCAAGATTATTTTTCCCCCTGAATTGTGCAAGGTATTTTTGTTCAAGCAGAAGTTTGCAGTCTGTAGCTAGGATAACAACCAGCAGCCTCTGGCACAGCATTCCTCTCGTTTCATTCTTGCTCATTATAGTCGATGCACCTTCTTGCCAGAGAAGTACTTCTTAGAGAAAGGAGAACGCTTTACAAATGCCAAAACTGCTGGAGTCCCAGCCTTTACAAAATACCTGCAAAGATTAAAAGGAGTCCTTTAGCTTCCTTGCAGCTGGCCAAGTGTCACGCAAAGCAAGTGACTTCTGCCCAGCTCAATAAAGACTGACCTCCCCAAGGCCAATGACAAGCTCTTTTGCTGATGAGCAGGAGCCTTTTGTAGCGGGGGCTACACAGATCTGACGAGTGTTTTATGAATCAACTCTTCTCCCAACAGCTACTTCTAATTAAAGCAGCTGTTATTCTCCCTCTGGAAGGAGGTTTCTTTTGCAACTGCCCTTTACAGCCTGAAATCTGAGGGTTTATGCACACTGCTGAGTTTTATGGAGCGATGGTTCAGACACAGCCTGCAGCAGTGGACCTAGAGCTCCGCTCCCACTGTGACAGACCAACCCACGAGCGCTGTGCAGCAGGTTTTCTCCAGCTAGCTACAAGATGGTGCAAGTTAACAGCACAGGCTTTACAATAACTTTTTGGCTTCACAAACAGCAAATTCTTCTCTCTAAATAACTGCACAACACTTTAAAGTCAGTTTCAGAGTGAAACTGTGCTGCACGCTGTGCTGGGGGCTGCTCACGCAGCATTATTAACAGTGAGAGCATTGTTAACCTTCAACACGCTCTCTTTATATACTGCTGCTGCCTTTTTTTTTTTTAAAGTAGCACTGTGTAAATGGGAACTGAAACAGCCCTTTTGTGCTGCTGCTTGTGTGTAGCTGAACTCCCCTTCTCATCTCCATCCAGTCCCAGAAAGAGCTGTTAATTTTTTTGGGGAAAAAAAATATGTAAGCCACTAAAGCCAGGCACAAAATCCATCTTCAACTAGATCAGGCTGCTCAGAGCCCCAATCCTTCAAGAGTTCGGACTATTAAATTGGAGAACAAGCTGCACTTAAAGCCCAAAGCTCATACTTTTTTTATCTTGGTGCTTTCCCTGGACATGGACAGCCTCACCTTTGGTGCTGCAGCATTTGTAGCAATGTGTGTTCTGGGTTCAGCTCGTACATTTCTGCTCTTTCTTCATCTTCAAAATAGAGCTGAAATTTTGGAGAGTTATTAAATACCTAAGGTATACAAAGGCAAATTGCTAAGCCGTTGAAAGTCCAGTAACAGCACCACCACGCATCTACTAGAGGTTTATCAAACTTCCGTAGCTCGAACCGACGGCGTCAAAAGCCAACTTGAGCAGTGCAGAAACCGTTTTGTGTAAATTCCAAGTCTTCCCTGTATAAACCAGCTTAGCTTCTTACGGCAGTGGCAGCAGGAAGGCAAAATACACTGGCTGTTCCTGTGCTTTACAGAGAAGCAATCCAAACCTATGGGCTGCTTTTTATCAAGTGAAATGCAGCAACGGTAGGAGCTAAATTGAGCAGGTTTAAAGATACTTGAACAAAATAGAGTAGATTTAAGAGATTTGAATCCAGCGACTGTGCCTTAGACTGTACATATACACAGAGCTATAATCCAAGTTTTTAGTATGGTAAGTGCACAGCCACTGTCTTTTTGGACATGTCTGCTCACTGCAACAAGGGTTGTGCTGTTGCCTGGTGCACGTAACACTGAAGTGGAAAACGAAAAATAAACATCTGTATCCTTCTACGTACAATTTCTGAAAAATTCTCAAAACTTGCTGCAACCACAACCAACTCGCATCCCAGCTTTGCTACTGCCTTGATGGGAGTAAGCGTTTAAGTACCTCCAGTTAGTTCTGAAAATAACTTATATTTTCTCATTTGTATTGAGCAACTTCATAACAACACAGTTAAAAAAACAGGCAGCCTACCAGTTTGATGGTCTAAATGTTAATTATCGTTACAAAGATGGGAATCTAAGCAATATCTATAAATACCTTCTATCAATCACAACGTAAGTGGAAGACAAAAGAACTTTCATTTTCGTTAATGAATTCTGTGCCCATGTCAGCACATCTAGAAAATGTTTGAGTTTATAAGTGAATGTAGCTCTCCAAATCCTTTTATCACATCCATGTATGGTAAACAGGTAACGATGTCATTGCTTTCATACACTCAAAGCGGCTCATTCTCACTCCAGAAAAAAAAACAACCCCCAACACAACAATCCTGAAATAGAAGGAAAGTCAAACTTCTCACCTCAAGATTGCTGGGAAGGTATTTTCTTTCTAAATCCCAAGGAGGTAACTCAGCAAACATCACCATTAAATGATCAATAAACCTAAAAGCCAAAATACACTTGGTTAGCTTAGATGAAGTGCTCAGCTTCAATAATTTGTAGCTGCATTTGAACGATGGTAAAAATACATTAGCAAATTCGACAATAGACTTGAAAGTGAGTTCAGATCACTAATAGTTTCTTCCCTTCAAACTCACTGCTTTCCCAGTGAGACCGAGGCTGTGTTGTAACTCATGCTATTGGTTTCACACTTGAGCAGTATAACAGCAAATTATTTTTAACTTTTTATTTTCACACTGAAAAAGATGTCAAAACAAACACTCTGCGTTTTGTCTAAAATTGATTTTCCTTCTACATGGTCCCACCAGCACCACGCTTCATCAGATCAGAGTGCTCAGAATATGCTTGTGTGTCTGAGGCTTATTTTGGTACTTGAGGAGTGCTGGTGGCCAATTTGTCCTAAGAACCCATTTCCACTTCCTTTGGTCATGAAAAGGTGTAGTGAACACTACTATATGAAAACTACAACTTTATTAATCTGCTTGCACTATAATTTTAAGTCCTAAACTTATCAGTAGATCTGAGGAATATACATCTCCCCACAAAGAAAAGTTACGAATTCCAAGCTTGTTTAACATTTCAGTTTTCGATCTTGCAGTTAACATCAAGAAAAATGGAATTCCCACCTTGCCAGTCACTTGCTTATAGTCTGAAAGGTCTGCAGCACTTCAGTCAGGCTTGCTGTAAGCCCTAAGGAAAACTATGGGGTCACTGGTGCTAAAGAGAGGTCCCTTTTGGAAGCTTTTTATAATTTTTAAGTTTAATCCTCTTCCTGAGACCCCATATTTGGAGGGCTTCGAAACAGCACCTTACTGAACCTCTAAAATCCATGCATACAGATGGGTTACTGGTATTACTGGCCACTGGTCTAAGCTTGCACAAGCCCCCTTAATCACACATCATAGATATGATGTGTTTCCCTGCACTATAAATGTACGTGACGTCAAGATTTTGGCCCTCATATTTTAATGGGGGCATTCAAAATCATGGAATAATTCAGGTTGGAAAGAACCTCAAGGTCATCTAGTGCAACCTCCTGCTCAAAAGCAGGGTCAGCTATGAGGTTAGAAATGTGGAGCTACTTCATTAACATAGCAGTGTTTCACTTGCTGCCTGTTCTCATCAACTCAAACATCTCCTTTTTGCAAGAACGCTGCTGACAGTGCATTTACCTGGAGTTCTCATGAAAAGCTGCAATGAAGTCTGTTTGCTCGTGCTCAGGGTACAGAAAAAGGACAGGCCAGTTTAGGTTGCCATCAGCATCTAAGTGTACCTTGGCGCCAGTGGCATTGTCAGTGTGGAACCCATCTAAGGATATCTCAGCCAGGCCATCTGATATTTCCTCCTCTTCATTTGAAGGCTCAAGAACCAGCTTGATATTTCTTTCCTAGAGAGGAGGAAGGAAAAAAAAAACCCCAAAACAAAAAAAGCCCAAACAGGTATGGTGGGGAGAATAAGAGCAAAAAATTAGCAGTCAGTGAAAGGACAAATTGTGTCATTCCTATGAATGAGTCACCTCTTAAACATGCCATCAAAAGCCTTCCTACAGTATCAGACTCAGGTGACAAGGCTTCACAGTAGAATCCAGAACCTCACCCAGACTCCTCATAAAACAGATGAGGAGAGGTGGGAATCCAGAGGAGCCCACATGCTGACAGAAGAGCCTGAGAAAACGTGGGGAAAGGGATGCATCTGAAGTCCTGTTCTTTGGCACCTAGCAGGCGTAACTTCAGGGTGCAACCACATGCACCAGCTCCCGAAAACATCCACTCTTGCAGGGAGCTGAAGAAAGCTCATTCTTTTCTTTAGACAGACAACTGTCGAAGAGGAGATCAGATTTTATGTAACAGACCAAAATATTTTAACATAGTATAAACATTTGCTGAGGAAGGAGAGGATCCGGGATTGATTCTCTCCCTCCTGGATGGTTATCTTCTATTCTTCCATTGAAGTAATGCCCATCAATAGCAAAGAAAGCAACGTTAATTGGGCCAGTGTGATGCTACAGCCCAGCAGCCAGAGCAGTCTCTTGGATGCTTGATCTACCTCCTAACACCGGCTTTCTATTTCGCATTAGCTGTTGCCTGAAATACGGAAACCTGGGAGCTGGGGCCAGTGCCACACAGATAAGGAGAATCTTTTTTTAGTTAAAACTAACTCAGTTTTTGGCTCTACCCCTCAAAAGCCTGCATGTGTGAAGAACCTCTTGGAAAAAAACTAGAGAACTCTTAAAACAAAACCAAACCCCCTCACTGACCCACCTTTATTGCTGCAAGCAAATTTTCCTTTTGATGCTGCTCTTTCTTCTCCATCACCTTTGCTTTCCTTGCATCCCGCTCTTCAGCTCGCTACATGTAAGAAAAGGTTGCACCACGGTCACACACAGCAAGTCAATGCCCATCACTGTTCTACCCTGTCAATGAGTGGAGAAACCAGTTCAGATCTCCGGAAGGGTCCCCTCCAGCTCTTTCCCCTACACATCTCAACAACATGCACTACGCGGAACCACCACTCAGTTCTGTTTGGGGAATTACACAGAAACCTGTATGGAGCACTCTTCAACCAAGGGTCCCAAAGTGCTTCTTGACACAAAGCAGATGACAAGCATTGTAGACGCTAGACTGCCTTAATACTTACCTTTAATTTGTCAGCTTTAGCTCTCATTTCCACAAGCTTTTTCTCTTTTGAATCTATTCGCAAGCCCTCCTCACACCATGCTATTGCTTCAGAGAAATTCTTTAGCTCCATGTGACAGAGAGCTCCTGGAAGGATTCAGATTTTAAGTTTCTAGTATTGGAGTTAGTATACAACTACTACACAAAGTGCTGGTTACAAAGACAGCATTAGCCCAAGTGCCTTCACGAGGCATAAACAGTAGCACATGCTATTGTCCTGCAGGGTCATGTTCAGTCAGGGGCTTCCAGCAGGTCAGCTGAGAAGAAAATCTAAAATATTTCAGCAGTTCTTGTATCATTTGCTCATCTAGTCACAGAAATCAGCAGAAAGATGACAGAAGTGTCTGTTACAAGAAAAATTTTATCACTATAATTAACATATCAGTATTTGTCTCATAAGAAAAATAAAGTGGCCATTTCCACAGAGTGAAAAATGCTGGCGGGGGCGAAAACAAACTCCAAAAACTGGTATTGTGGAAAACTGCAAAAGTTATGCTGTACTGTACAGAAACAGGTCCAATGCCTCTTGACAGATATAGCAGCTGAAGAGCAAAAAGCAAAAAGATAGCGTTTTGACTGAAAATCCAAAGCAAAACCCAGATCTCTGTTTTTGGGGAGAAAAAGCAATAACAGAACACGAGATCTGGGGTACAGTAACTGCTTTAATTTTCTGAAATGAATGCTGTCCTGAATCAAAGTATGAATGCATGTTCACAGTAATTTAAGGTTTATAAACACTGTCATATAACACACAGAAACATGCAGCTAAACAAAGCAACATCCAACAACGGTCTGTTCCAGGGCTTATAACAATACTAAGTAAAACTAACGTGCAAAGCTGTTTTGAAACAATGTTCCTTATGCTCCATGCGGTAACACGTGATCTTGAACTCTTACCTCTTATTATTGCTTTGAGATGGGTGGGCTTTAGCTTTTTCGCTTGGATGGCATCATTAAGAGCAGACCGGTAGTTACCTATAAAGCAAGCAACACTGCTCAGAACCTTTCAATTATATTTAAAAATCCAACCAGCCTCGAAGGTGACAAAATAGCTTATGCAGAGACTCTGTAACTCGCTGTTTCTACAGTCGCTGTGAGGTGAGTGTTGGGAGAAAGAGCAAACTGAGAACAAGAACTGACAGGACAGGAATCCATCAGAGGGGTAGGAGTCCCCTTCCCAGACCCGTCCGGGGGTGTCTCCTCACCCAGATAAAACTGGGCGGCCCCTCGGTTTGCGTGCAGCACGGCCTTCAGCTCTGGGTCCTCGCATTTCTTTCTCAGCCCCTCGGTGTAGGCGATGACAGCTCTGTTGTAGTCCCTCTCCCTGAAGTACTCGTTCCCTTCGTTTTTGTACATCCTGGCCAGCTCTGCAGGGGAAGGAAGGGGGGACAGGGCCTGAGCGGGGGGCGCAGCTCCCCAGCGCCCCACGGCCTCTCTCCCGGGGCCGGAGGGGCAGACCGGCAGACAC